ACGCGTATTGTAAAAACTCCGACGTAGTTTTCTATCTTTTTCCGAACATGGGTCCAGGGAAGTCACAAGACACGACTGTGGAAAACAAACGCCGTGCATCGCGACGCCGACTTAGAACACCAAACTACGCCAATCAACGCCTCTGAAAGCGGCAGGGTGCTGCATTTGCAAACCGACGAGCATTGTTGCGACGCTGATTTCTTTGACGCTGACATTAGTAACCATGCGTAGGGTAAACTAATCGCGATCCGACAGGGCGCCGGAAAACCGACACATAGCATGAGACCCGGAATGGCATAAGGCATGATGCTCGCAAGTGGACACAAAGCGTCGCGACACCAACAGAAGTCTCGGAGCACAATGTGCAACAGTTATGACAGCGGCAACGCAGAAAGACGTCATATTAAGCGAAGAAGAGCATTTGGATGGCTTAGGACACGACGTTCTACATCTGCCGTGGAGCGTCGCGACGCCAATCTTCACGCCGCCACTTCTGGAATGTTGTGCCGTGTAGTCTCGTAGAAATTGGCCAGTGTTTCAGAAGTACTTTATGCCTTCATCATCAGTGCGAGTCGTCCTTTTGAAATGTACTCTCCGTCCGATGAATTTCAGGATTACATTTTTGCGTGCACAAGTGTCCTGTAATGTTATCAGTCGACTGCATTTGTATGCTGACAAGTCGAGTGGTTCATCGGCTGCCCCCAGGAATTCAATTTTAAAATAATTTTTGTCAGAGAGTTTAGTTTTTCCTGATTAGTGTTGTGCAGGAAATTCCTAAGTTCGCAGCTCGCAACAAATGCGTCATTGCGCGTGCGTGAGAATAATTGACTCTGAGGAATACTAATTACAAACATGCACAAACTGTTGGTTTTCCCTTTTGATAAAATTTACAGAATCTACAGAGAATCCGATGGCTAGTTGACAAACAGAGGTCTGCATTTTCCACCCAGTTCCGATTCCTTGTTAGAACAGTTTGTGATTAATCGTCGGCAAAACAGTGGGATAGATTTTCTCGTGATTCACTTGTTTGTGTAATTTAGTGTCATCTCAGTTCTTAGTAAGTTACCCTAAAAGGCGAGAAAGAAATTAAACGAACAACGAACCAACTAATCAAGCAACAACCTTCAACCTACGCACCCGCAAGCCAACCTATAAAGTTGAATAATAATTATACCTGTTTTTTCAGACACCTGCTTTCATGAAGTTGTCTGTGTAATTATACCTGTTTTTTCAGACACCTGTTTTCATGAAGATGTCAGTATGTTGTAGTACTGAATTAAACTTACGCTGGAAAACCAATGAAACAAAAGGATAACATTAACGTGGATGTTAGGTGGATGGAACTGACTCAGGATTGCGTAGAACGGCGGGCTTTAGTAGCGATATCGGAAATTTGTGTTCTGTTATCGTAGTGTTGGTGCTGAATGACACTTATGCAGTTTGACAACTCAGTATTTACAGGGTCGTATTTCAGTACTGAATGTAAGCCTATTTTGACAATGGGCTAGACTACTGGACAGAATTTGAAGTAAACAATTATAGTTGTACAAATTGTTGAGTAATAGGCAAAGAGAACCAAAACTAGATCAGTACACACGCTGATAGACAGATATGCAAGCAGGTTGGTATATTAGGAAATTTTGAAATTTAGTATGCATCGTTATAGATAAACCAAACCAATCATGAAAACAGTTTTGGGATATAATTAGTAAAGCCGTCAAAATGGTAAGCTTACGTAATGAAGCAGTTGCGACTCTTATCGAGCAAGAATCCCAGCTAAGGATAGATTTCGATGCGCTACTCTCTAACCCAAATGAAAAGGAGCTACCGGCGGAGATGAGTATTGGGGCCCGGCGGAAACCTCTCCCGCCCCCTTCCCATCCAGGGTACGCCGGGGCAAATTTCCTGTTTCTTGCAATGTCGGAAACATGGTCCAACATGAGTCAATTTGTCCAAAACCTAGTTTTCTCCAGCAGTAGCGATAGGCAATACAATTTTCTTTAGCATCCTAAACTAATCTCGCTCGCAGCTGTAGAAATCAAGGGGTAGGGGTAAACTTGGCTCACGGAAAACTAAATTGGAATGGGCTACAGCAATACAGAGTGCGGTAATGTCGTGGTAATTGCTCATCCGCCGTTTACATTACGTTCTCCTCCCAAGGAAAATGCGCGTTTCCCGTCGCTAAGCAACAAAGCACGCGTTCTGTTGATTGATCCTCTCGAGAAAAAACAATACGTCATAATTAAACACAAGGAAATGCAGAAGCAGAAAAGATGCTAATTATCAAGTGAAGAGGGCTCAACCATTATGTGTGGTGAAGTAAGTATGTTAGGCTATTTCTATGAGGTTTTTTGCGCACTAGTAAAAATATGAATATGTCTGTAAGACCCTATGTTTCATTTCCGAAACCATCGAATGTAGTTGCATTAAACTTGGTGTTAACTGTACAATAAAATTATGAAACACGACTGTTTTCTGAAAAAGGCATGTCGTACAAAAACTTGGCACGTGACAAAATATTGTGAAGTATTTCTCCGTGTAGCGAATATTTGTCGAGGTTCAGCGGGAAAAATAGTTCATCTTCATGCAGTGTGTAGTGCGATCACCTTTTCAACAAATGTATTTGTGTTGCAGAATCACAAAAATCGAATTCGAACTTGCAGCTTATGTGAATTCACCATTGAAGTGCTTGTTTCCATTCCCGTTTCGATCTGAGACACACGGTCTCCTGTTTACAAACCGCTGTTCTAAACATTATTACACGTCCTCCCGTCATCAGGCAACAATATTTAGACGGTGCACGATAATAATGGTTTGCTCGTCGGGGCGCTTGATCCGATTTATTGGGGCGGCGTTTGATCTTGGCCGGGACTTCTTTGCCTACCGATGTGAAATAACCAGATGAGAACTGGGAAATTCGGAACCATGCATTTCTCTCTCTCCTGTAGTGTAACAACCTTCACTTCGCCTGCTTCAAAGGGGAGTATTATCATCTCTGTATGTTGTATTTGTGAGCAATGTTTGTCTTGGTGTGTCCCAAATTTCCTGTGTTAAGTCGATTCTTATTCGGAAACTGTACTCTTAATACGTTCTGAGCGATTTCGCGTAGGCCTGCCTCATCGGTTTTGAAGTATATTTTTAGCAAATAAAAATCTTTTGTTGTAGAACTAATAACACTACAGATGCCATAGTGCTTTGAGTGTTAAATTCTTCTTTGTATTTCTTTAAATATTCACCAGATTGAAAGTTTGGTAAAATGTGAAGGTGAAATTTCCTGTTCTCACGGCATGAAAATTTTTTGCGTCGTGTTGACTGGTAGAAGTTTGCCGCTGGGGATAGTATTAAATATTTCTGAAAATTCTGTATTAAATATTACATACATAACAGAGGAGGCAAATTGTGTCGTTATGTGTGATAAATATCCCGTAGTAATGACATAAATTAACAAGTGCTTCAAATTTACATCATTATTATTGTATGATTTCTACTAGCCTTTGTAAAAATTTGTAAAGGAAACTAGGAATCAGTTTTTTCCCAGTTGTTTCTTATGTTGACCGAAAGAG